CATTTGTAAGAATCAAGACAACGCATTGGAACGATGTTAATTCAAGCTTTTATCAATAACTCTCGTGAATATCGTTTCTCTTCTTTACTTGCAACGATATGGGACTTTCCCTGTCCAATAATAGTAAATCGTTGATTTAAAAAAGATTTAAAAGATTTACAAAACTTGAAATCATAACTTACTTACCGTGTACTGCGTTGGAATTGTTCAAAATTTTTGTAATCGATATCTAAATCTGTATACATTTTTCGTCGTTGTCCATAATGTACATTTTGGCCAGTGCTCGTGCTTTGATTCGTGATATTATAAGAATCTTTGACACGATTCGCGAATATTGTTGCATCATATACACGTCGTTTCTCCTCTGAACCCAGCACTTCGTATGCCGATGTCACCTGCAATAAGAACCATCACTAATTATTCTTCATCTCAAAACAACTGTTCAATTCAATCATTAAAGAACACCTGAAATTTTTTGGAGAAGACGGAAACTGACTACTTGCTTCATTTCTGACATATCTTCAATTCGCTTTCTAAACTATTTCAAAGACCTCTGCGCGATTTTATCCTCAAATCAAAAATGTACAAGACTGACAGTGAGGCACTGAAGGTAAGATTCAGTGTGTTCAGGTTTCAAAATTTATTCATTCATTTGCATAGCGATTAATTCTGGTTCACTAACGACAACGAAATGGGATGGAAAATACAATACAATCCGTTTGAAAAAAATAATAATACTGAAGAGCAATTCGATGCTGAACCTGCTGAAATTTGACAGCAGCGGATTGTTTATCGTCGGAATTCTTGTGTCGATCAGGATGATATTTCTTGGACAGTTCATAATAGGCAGCTTTGATTTGTTTGCTGGTGGCATCTGGTTCGATACCGAGTGTATCGTAATGGTTTAACAACGGTCTTGCAGATGACAGAGCACGTGTACCCACCGTCCCACACACCCTACAATGTCTCAACAACAACATACCACCACCCAACTGAAATTAAACACAATTTCATTCATTCTCGAATTACCGAACTGATCGTGAGTATCGCTCAACGTGCGATGCCAAGACTGGAGCAGATCACTGAACTTGGCTTAGATTTCTGTTGAAGCCAACGAATTAATTCAAGTCTTATCTATGCTTTCCAAGAAACGTATTATTACTATTATCATTTATTCACTAGAAAATACGAGTAAAAGTTTATTTCAATG